AAATTAAATGCAGAAATTATGTTGTACGTTTTTTAATATGCGTATGACCTATCCTAAATGTGTGCAAACACATAATTTGGTGTGTGCACTGTTCATATCCGTCCATGAGTTTGTGCAATAGAAACCATAGTACCCTAAATGTGTGCAAACACGCAAACTAGTGTGTGCATTTTACTGAGCATCCCTAATGTTATGGAATAATATTGAGCACTGTGCATATCCGTCTATGAGTGTGTGCAATAGAAACCATAGTAGTGTGTAATAATGCGGTCAAAGGTTGTGAAGCCTACGACCCTATCTACACTGTGTGTATACTATCATGCATTTTAGTATAACAGTGTGAGCAACATTTTTATTTTTACATAGTAAAACATTCCTAATTATATACGTTATTTAGTATGCATATCACCTATCATTAGTGTGTGCAAAATCACAAACAGGTGTGTGCATTTAATTGAGAGTCAACACTTTTACTCAAAACCCGTCGAACACCATGTTACACACACTAAAATATAGGAATGCACACACTAAATTATAGGAATCAACGTGTGCACACCAACAGGTTTGAAGCATACAGTTCGTTCCCACCCCATACACACTATAGTGACACGTTGCACACTGATACAGCCAACGTTCAAAGTCGTCTTTTTCGAATTTCATAAATAGTACTAGATTCTTGGTTAGTTTCCTACCATGAATACAACTTCTACAAATTTGGTAAAAATTACACATCAATTTAAATCCAAATTAAATTCACATGCCAATTGCTATATCACCCCTATCAATTAACTCTATATTAATTAAAATAGGAAACAATCTTAAATCATAGTTATTCATATTTGGAGATGAATGCTTAGGATGCAATCTCATGTAGAAAAGTGGTTTTGTAGGATCCAACCCATATATATATATATATATATATATATATATATATATATATATATATATATATTTTGAATCCGTGCACGCCCCCTAGTCAGCCGAGTCTGTGAGCACACTCTCTGGCCGTTGATTTGTTTTGATGAACGGATCAGATGGGGCTGGTTGTATTCTCCACGCGTGCTATTTGTTTAGGTAAGGAGGGGTATTTTTGTATTTTGGCTTTGTCTTTTATTATCTCAATGCTTTATTTCCGGCGTTAACTTTGCGTGTGGATTTAGATTAATTAGGTTTGCCTTTTGGTTCTCTGGTCTTGCACTCGGTCTGTATTCCCGCCCTCTCTTCGACACGCCCGGTTGTTCGTCTTCCGTTCGTAGCTTCGCTCCGATTCACGGCGACAGTGTCTCCATGTATGTACGTTCGTACACACACACACACACACACACACACACATACATATTCCGTTCGTAGCTTCGCTCCGATTCACAGCGGCAGTGTCTCCATGTACGTACGTTCGTACGTACGTACATACGTACATACATACATACATACATACATACATACATACATATATACATACATACATACATATATGACATCCCCTATTTTTATGAGATCATAAGGGGTGTTGCTAATTGCACCACTCTTTGATCAAAAGTGGATATAAAATATCTTGAAATTGTAAAAAGGTGAAAATTTTCAATAATTACATAGGTGGTGTAAATAGCCAAATGGGAGTTCATTTTGCTATTTGCACCACCTTGGTCAAACTTCATTTATGTGGTGTAATTAATAATTTTTTATTTAATTAAGGGAAAATGACATTTTACCCCTTAAGTTATATACTTATAGCATTTTTTCTCCTGAATTATTCATGTTAGCACATTAGCCCCCTCGATTATTCTAAAAGTGACGATTTCCCCCCTGATATATTAAATTGACATTTCTACCCTTAAAGTAAACATTTTATTTATTTTTCTTCTCTACAAATTATTGCGTATATGTAGGGATGACCACGGTTCGGTTCTAACTGAACCGGACACTATAGTAATCGAATTAAAAGTTTCCGGTTATGATTCAGATCCAGAACCCAATATTTGGATTTCAATTTATTAAAATTATGAATCGAAAAAACTGGATCTTGAACCGTAAACCGGTAGTTTCAAATCAGGTTCGCAATTTTGAGTTGTCTTTATTTTAAAATTTTATTTTTTTATTTTAAAATAGTTTAAATTCAACAATAAATATATTTTATTTTTTTCATTTATTTTTTTCTCCAACAAATTATTGTTTATATGTACGGATGATTATGGTCCTGTTCGAATAATTTTTTTTTATTGTCAATTCAAAATTTATTTATTTATTATAAATTCTATTTCTTATTTTTAAAATAATATAAATTCAATAATTATTTTATTTTATTTTATTTCATTTTTTGCGGTTCTGAATCATAAGTATAACGGGCTGTTTGGTTGGACGTAATTAAGTCGTAGTTGAATTGTAATTCAGCACAACCCACAATTACGCCGTTTGGTTGAAGGGAATTGCAATTCCACCGAATTGCAATTCCTTCCAAATGCTGAATTGTAATTCATACCCCTCCCCTATGAATTACAATTCGGCAAATTGAAGGGAGAAGAAAAAATAGGTTAATGACCATTTTACCCTCACTCTTCTTTTGTCCTATTAGCTGTCTTCTTCTTCTTCTTCTTCTTTTTATTATTATTATTATTATTATTATTATTATTATTGTTATTGTTATTGTTATTGTTATTGTTATTATTATTATTATTATTATTATTATTATTATTATTATTATTATTATTATTAGAGCATTTCAGTCATTGTATCACTTATTCCCTTTCAATTTCATGCTTTATTACTGCATACCAAACACTGTAATTTGAATTGCTACTTTATTCCCACCTGCATACCAAACACTGTAATTTGAATTCCTACTTTATTCTCACCTTATTCTTTCCCCACCGAATTACAATTATTTCCCCCCATAATTCCTTACTTCTAACCAAACACCCCCTAAGAAAATAAAGTTGCATGTGTTGTGCCTTCACAATTAGTTATATTTGTTCTATATTTTCTCAAACATTTTTAACCCTAAGAATCTAAGCTCCACCCCCAAGGTCCGAACCTATACCATTTATTTGAAATGGTAATTGAAACGTCATCATATTACATGATAGTTGGCTTAATCATATTATATATAATAATCATATAAAAATCAATTGTTGTTAAATCAAAGTAATTGTAGATTACTAGTATATATGTCCTCTAATGAAGGTGTGCATTCCTCAAAAAGAGAGAAATCAAATATCATCTTGGATATAAAATCACACTCCAAAATGTCATTGGAACGTAATGGATTGTCAACTTCAATATGACTGCGAAAGCCTAAGAAATCAATATTTTTTCCTCTTTTTAACTGGAATGAAGTTCAGAAGAGTAATATATAACACATGTGATTGCAAATTAAAACAAACTCCATTTGACTTTGCTTATGATTCAGAACCGAACAAATAAAATACAATAAAATAATTATTAAATTTATATTTTTTTTAAAAAAAATAAGAAATAAAATTTATAATAAATAAATAAAATTTGAACTTGGCAATAAAATAAAATAAAAATTGTTTGACCTGAACCGTGATCATCCGTACATATAAACAATAATTTGTTGGAGAAGAAAAAATAAATGAAATATTTAGTTTTTAAAGGTAAAAATGTCTATCAAACATAAAAGGAGGAAAACATGTCACTTTTAATATAACTGAGGAGGCAAATATGGATACATGAATAACTAAGAGGAAAAAAGTGCTAAAAGCATATACCTAAAGGGAAAAAGTGTCATTAATAAATATTTGTTAAAAAATAATGTTTGACTAAAATTAATGAAGGTGTTGCAAATAACAATTTTCTATTTACACCACCTATAAAGCTATCACACCTATTAAATAGGTGGTATAAATAGCAATTAGAGTGGTGCAAATAGAACTCTCCATCATAAAATCACATCTTAATCATCTAAGTAATTGTAATTAATGCATTAAAAAAAAAGTAATTGTAATGAATGGATAGGATTCAATTAAAAAGCTTATTTATATAAAGATATATTAAATACATTATAATTTCATTTAGTTTTTTGAATTGGATTATGAATGGAGTAGAATATTTTCCTAATTTAAAGGAATTATATCCATGTTAGGAATGAATTCTAGAAAAAAAAAAAAAAAAAAAAAAAAAAAAAAAACAGCAGCCCTATGAAGAAATCACCGGTAAGTTTTGCTTTTTTTTTTTTTTTTTTTTTTTTTTTTTTTTTGTTGATTTTACTGCTTACAACGTGTGCATTTGATCCATTAGGCGTGTGCAAAATGTTGTGTTTAGAGGTGAAAATAAGCCAAATCCCTTTATAGAGGCCTATGACCTGGCCTATCACATTGTGTCTTAGTTCAATCAGAATGTTCTCCCATTTTCAAAAAAAAAAAAAAAACACAAAAATATTGTTGGATTTGCTCAAAATCTTAAACTTTGAGAAAGATTACACTTTCTTCAATATTTGAGGATGATTCCGGAATTTAAAAAGTAACATGGACATTAGAATTCTCAGGTCTTAAATGTTTTCATAGTCAATGGCCTAACTACTCCCACTATCCACTAAAAATTGTTATAAGAGAAAAGATACACAAATTTAGAAAAATAATACTCCACCATTCTCAAAGTAGTGTTTTCTTCACTATGAAATCACATTTGAGAAAAGAGTAAAGTTGTTAGAAGACGAGCCAGGGTAAGAGGGGAGAGCATTGGTTTCTTGGATTTGGCTCTGATACTACGCCTCGATTTTGGCTTTTGAAGAAGATGCAAACTTCACAACGGAGGGCCGGCAGAATGTCCAGAGTTGACTGGATGGGGCAAAAGGTGCCTACAAAGGTGTCTTGAGTAGGTCCTAACTGTAGGAGTCACCTTCAAGCCCGTACCATACTCAGACTAATGCATCATGCCTGCACTGGCTAACAGATATAACAGATATAGGGCGGCTTAGCTCGAAGCCCTTCCACTATACCAGAATCACCATGAATATAAGCTTCAAGGCTTCTCCAACACCTCCCATTTTATAGTCAACGGTCCAGCTAATCGCTTCAACTCCAGCTGCTATCCAAATTGCACCAAAAATGCCACCAAACCTTAGTTACTGTACATCATTTGCTGCAAATTTCTGCATCATCCTTAGGACTGTACTATTGGCAGTTTGAAGTGCTAGTAAATCATTTACTAGAGACAATGTGTAACCATTCGGAGAAATACCCATACCTACCATTTCATCCAAAACAATATTCGCTTCATTACACATTTTCTTTCTAACAAATTCACTTAAAATAACATTATAAGTGGCAGTATCTGGTAATATATCATTCTCCTTCATTTTCCGTAGCAAGTATAAGGCCTCATCTGTTAATCCTTCTCGAAAAAATCCATTTATCATTATTGTATACGTATTTACATTTGTGCATGACACTTTAGAAAGGTTAATAAATATACCGCGTGCAATATTAAGCAGCCCAGTCTTGCAGAATGCATCGATCATGATGTTACCAAAAACATGAGAACCATTTCCATTTTTGTCTAACTTAGAATAGATTGACATTGCTTTTTCAACATGTCCATTATCACATAAACCTTTAAGTAAGACGCAGGAAGTATGAAAATTTGGTTTATGTCCAGCAATCTGCATCTCCTGAAAAAGTTTTAGTGCAGTAGAACATCTACCAACCAGAAATAGTCCCTGCAAGATTGTGGTATATGTAACAACACCAGGACACAACCCATTTTCAGGAATTTCACGAAACAGATCCATTGCCTCATCCATTTCTTTAATTCTACAGTATCCATTAATTAAAATGTTATAGCTCCAAACATCAGGCTGAAGGCCTCTGTCTACCATCCGACTAAAAGCTTTCCTTGCTTCATCCATCTGTCCTTGCAAACAGTACCCCTCAATAAGGGTGTTGTATGTGACCACATCAGGATAAGTGTCTCTTTGGATCATGATTTGAATAATAGCCTCTGCATCATTCAGCTTACCCTCCTTTGAAAAGGCATCCACCAATATAGTGAAGATACGGGCATCTGGACATAAATTACGAAGCACCATCTCATTCATTAATTTGGTAACCTCTTTCCATCGGCAAAAGTTGCAAAGCCCTTGAATCAAGGAACCATAAGTGAATTTATCCGGGAGAATCCCTCTACCTATCATCTGAGTGAGAAGGTCTAATGCCTCATCAATCATTCTATCTTTGCACAAAGCATCAATTATAATGTTATAGACTCTAGTATTAGGCTCAAGTCCCTCCTTTTGCATTACTCCAAGTAAATCAAGAGCAGTTTGTGTATAACCCGTCTTGCAAAGCCCAGTTATAAGAATGCCACATGTAACTTGATTAATTTTGCATACATTCTCCCTCACCAACTTTCTGAATAGCTCTACAGCTTCCCCAACTCTATTATCTAGACACAAACCATTAATCAAGGGAGCATAAGTGATGGTATTCGGGGGAATCCCTTTTCCTATCATCTCGGAGAGAAGGTCTAGTGCCTCATCAACCATTCTATCTTTGCATAGAGCATCAATTATGGTGCTATAGACTATAGTGTTAGGCTTAGGTCCCTCCTTCTGCATTACTCCAAGTAAATCAAGAGCAGTTTGCGTATGACCCCTCTTGCAAAGCCCATTTATAAGTGTACCACACGTAACTTCATTAATTTCGCACACCTTTTCCCTCACCAACTTCCTGAATAGCTCTACAGCATCCACAATCTTATTTTCTAGACAGAGGCCCTTGATCAGAGTGGTGAACGCAACCACATTAAACTCAATTCCACACTTGAAATAAAAACCAAGTACACAAAACCCGCAATCCACTCGATTAGAGCGGCAGCAGGCATCTATCAGAATGCTAAGGGTATACGTGCTGATGGGGATACCCGTATTGCGCATTTCTTGATAGAGGGAAACAACAAGCGAATAATGCCTCATTTTCAGAATTCTACTAAGCAGTTTATTGAACTCAATAATGGAAGGCATGGGACACGCAGTCGCCATTTGACGGAATAAACTAAGGGCATAGTCTACATCAGTTGCATCATCATAGTTGTTTCTGAATTTGGGAAAATTCGAATCCAGCAAGTAATTTTGATTTGAAGAAAACGAAGGAAAAGTTTCCGGGAGAGATTGAAATGATCGCAGTGAAGAAGCAGAAGTACCTGTTGTCCCTGATACTCTGCCCGGTGTCGTAGTAGAGCTTCTACTCCAACTGATGTTACTGAAGAATGAAAGAACGGAAGACAAAGTATTTCTCTTTGCTTTCATTTTCAACGATTGATCGTAAGCGGCCATGCGACAGCGAAAAATACATACGATAGAGCCCTAATTTCTTCAAATCGGGTCGCGTGGCTTGAATTGGGATTTTGGAACTTGTGAGAATCCCAACAAATTAGGACTCTTTTGAAAAAGATAAAAGAAAAAAAGAATCCTAATTTGTTGGGATTCTTAATAGGCACATTATATCATGCTCCAGGGCTGCTTCAATACATAGTATTTGATTTCATTCTTCAAAACGTTGAACTCCATTCCTAAGAGCCCCCACATCTCGACCCGACAGAATATTTGAAAGGATGTAAATTATGGTAACTTAACTGAATATGAACAATTTAATTTCATAATATACCAAATTCATGTTTATAATACACATACACACAACTACGATATAATGAATATGAATTATGTACATTATGAATATCTATATAATACACATAATTCATGTTCATTATATCATGTTTATGTGTATGTGTATTATGAACATGAATTATGTGTATTGGACCAGGGTCCACAATACACTGTGAATCCTGGTCCAGGATATAACGATTGTTCTTAATAAGGAATAATCAATTGTTTTATGACAAAAACTTGTGTGAGACGAGTCAGGTGATAGACAATTGAATCAATTTCAATTATAAGTATTACAATATTTATTATGAATAATAATTAATTTCACTCTGAGGTTGTGATTGGAAATCTGAAAAATGATTTCTGAGAAATAGAGAACTGAAGAACTAAGATTGAAAATTGAAAAACTGAAGAAATGAAAAATCGAAAAAGGAAAATAGAGAAACAAAGTAAACAACCACATAGGCAAAATAATAGTTACCGATGTTAATATTAACATTAACTTAGGTTACGTGTCACTAACATCATCATTGTCAGTTTGTCACATCATTATATCTATTTTCTACTAATATATTACTTTATAAATATTTAAAATTAATTATTTTTATCACCACTATATTAAATTACTAATTTACTATGTTTAAAATAAATAATTACAACCATGTTCATAAGAAGATTTAGAAATTTGATGTCAACATGCTTGTAATTATTTATTTTGGACATATTAATGTAATATATTAGTGGTAAAAATAATTAATTATAAATATTTATAAAATAATATATGAATTGGAATATAAATATCATGATGCGGCAGCAATGATGTTAGCGCCACGTAAACTAAGTTAACAAAAATATTAACACCGTTAACTATTGTCCTTTTTTGAAAACAAGGAACTATTGTCCTTAGTTTCACCATTTTTTAAAGTAGATGAACTAAATTGAACAGAATAAATGTACAAGAACTAAATACATGAACTTTGTAAGTACTTTTTATACACTTATAAAAAATTTTATATTTAACATGTCTTGTATGGTTAGACCGTCTCATACAAAATAAAGGAAAAAAAAAAAAAACTTTTTATATTTAACATGTCTTGCACGGTGAGACTGTCCCATACAAAAAAATCATTTCCAAATGAAATGTGAAGAAATTTCCTCCCATCAATCTTCTCGTGACTAACCTCATCCCTGAAAGTGAGTGCCTTGCTAATAGAGCTGTCAATACGGGCTGGCAGGGCGGAACGGGCCGCGGGCCAAAAACCCACTCCTTGGCGGGCCTGGGCTTCACAGGCCCACCCACCACGCGGGCTAGGCGGGCCCCTGCCATTTTTATTTTTATTTTTATTTTTATTTTTTGTTGTTGTTGTTGTTGTTCTGAACCCATAAGTTGTTAGTTTGATATTTTGTTAAGTTTTACCACTTGTATATTCTAAAAATAATTAAAATAACTTCTTACGTACCTCACATAAGACATAGTTGATCAAACATTCGACATTACATAATACATAATAATAATTATAAAGTTCTTAGTTTTAAAATTTTAAAACTTTAAACTAGGGTTATGGTTATTACTTATTAGTTATTAGGTTATAGTTAGATTTTATAAATTAATATATATATATATATATATATATATATATATATATATATATATATATATATATATATGAAACTGGAATTGAGAAAATTCAGAAATTTTTGACTTTTATATTGTGAAATTTTCTGAGAGTATTTGGTAATGAATTTTGATACAATTTTTTTTTTCAGATATGAACTTCAGCAAGTCTAGAACATACACAAAAAATTTTATATAAATCCAAGATCTAGAAGTAATTTTCTCAAATTTTTTCTTTAAACTGCGTCAGCTAGAATTTTTCTGGACAGCACACTGCCAAGAACTTAACGGAATTTTCTGTGATTATTGGAACATGTTTTCAACCCAAACGTTTGATGGATATCAAGATATATAAGTGTAGGTTTTCTAAAAAAAATTCAAGCAAAAATGAGTTAAGGAAGTATGTTTTGCAAATTTATTTTTCCGACTGCACCATACAAAATTTTATCGGAGAGTAAAATATTATATAGAAAAGCGCTCATATGTGGTCATGTCATTAGGTGTGGTCGTGTGGTCGTATCTGTGTCGTTGAATCAGTTTAATCTAACGGCAGTAATAATTCTGAGAATTTTCGCGCGTTTTGGTAAGTGGGGGTGTTATGGTCATTACAGTGGCCATTTTATAGCGGGCGGGTTCCAGAATACACCAACAGTGTTGACAACATACACCAATAGTGTAATAAAACACACCACAGTGAAACACACCAATGGTGTATTCCCATGTTATGGTAATTACAGTGGCCATTTATAGCGGTCGGGTTCCAGAATACACCAACAGTGTTGACAACATGCACCAATAGTGTAATAAAACACACAACAATGTGATTTTCCTTATTCCGGTGTTTTATGACGAGTTTACCCTTGGAGTTCACTGGGTAGGAGAATGTGCGCGAAAATACTGAAAAAATCTTGATTAATATGATTCATTGGATCTATCTAATCTAATGGCCTATAATTGACCATATGACCACACCTAACAACATGACCACATGTGATCACCCCTCTATATATATATATATATATATATATATATATATATATATATATATATATATATATATATATATATATATATATATATATATATATATATATATATATATATATATATATATATATATATATATAGCCCCGCCAAGCCCGCATGCCTAAGCGGGACAGGTCAAAAAAGCCTGCTCCTTGGCGGGCTGCGATTTTCGAAACCTACCCCCTACCTAAGTAGGGGGCGGGACGTGTCGGTCCGGCAGGCAAAGCCCGTTTTGACGGCTCTACTTGCTAAATAATGTGGCAAGAGAGAGAAATTTTTTTTGTTTTGATTTTTAACCTACATGGATATCAAAGGGAGAGAGAAATTGTTAATTTAGTAAGTGGAGAGATAAGCAATTGTGACAGCTTTATCTGCCATTCTTGCCAACCATTTCACTTTTGAGTTCTACTACATAGACTCCCAAAATTCTACTCCTTCATTTATACTCTCTGAGGTGGCAAATCAGGATTGGTTATTTTCATCATGTGAGTCCATAGAAAAATGTCTACATCAAGAGCATGTGAGAGGGAATACAAGTTGGGAGTTTAAAATGGGAGTACACCAAGTATTTTCCTTCACTTTTTGTTTTTGTTCTTTTATTTTAATATTATTTTATTATATATTTATAATATAATATGAAAGTGGAGCTTGTTTTTAAAAGTGTGAGAGATTTGCAAGAATGTAGAATAAATAATAGAAAATTTATAAATTTGATAATGTTAATGTCATACCCATTTTAAAAAGTAAGAGATACTTACCGGGATAAGGATAGCCTAAGTGGTCATATTCCGTCTTTATTTTTGCCCCAAAAATCCTAAAACTTGGGTAATATTTAATTTAGTTGTAGGTTTCACGATTCATGGATGATAATGCAACATATGTCAGCATGTGGGAATTGGTCAGATTTAGTAAAACACTTCCCATTGGTAGATGGTACACATTGTCATCATGTTGTCTTTTCAATTCTTGGCGGGTAATTCTACATATGAGTTAATTCCAGCAATGGTCCTCCGACTATTGTGACTTTTTAAAATTAATACTCAATTTTTATTTTGGACAAAAAAGACGCTTGACTTTCAAATTTATTTCAATAATAGTCCTTCTGTCAAATATCAGTTAAAGTGACTTTAAGTAGAGGGGTAGTGTAGTCATTTCCTTAATTGCTTTCTTCTCCCTCTTGAAAATACGTATCAGACCAATTTTGGTTTTGGTGGAGTGGGGGGATGGAGATTCTGTCACCATCTTACTCTTACCTATTGAACTCAAGTTGAATTCTTGAAGAAAGCAAGAGCACACGCCGGACCGGTTGGAGAATGCCCTGGCTTTGTACGAAAAGGACACGTCGGGCCGGTTGGAGAAGACGACGAAAATGCTGCCGGATATGTATATGTTTGGGAGCTTACGGGATTGAGAGTGTTGTGTTCTTTGAAGCTCTCTTCCAGAACGACGGACTGGTCTTTGGTGAGGCGGAGCTTCTGTCTAGAAGTTTCGCCGTCTTCCTCATTGCTGATGCCCCAGGAGCACGCCCGTTTCACGTAGTTTTCTTCTGGGTTCATCGTCATATTTAATTCTCTCTTCCCGCGGACGCTCAATCGTGCTGCTCGGCGACGACACTTCGGCCTCCTCCTCCGCATCGGTGGCCTCCGGCGCTCTGTTCACGTCTATCCCTTTCAACAACGTCCGAGTTTCCGCCCTGCATGTCTCCGAGTTCCGATCTACACATAAATACATTAAGCTTTTTATCCACTGCAAAACTTTCTCTTTTCTCTTTCAATACCCAATCAAAGTTGGGATCTTTTACGCCATTTCAGATCAGCAAAACAATACATATATACAGGCTCTTTAAAGCAAGAAAAGGACAGGGAAAAAATCACCATTTTCCCTTGTTTTCTTTTTAAATTTTCAAGAAAAAAATAAAAAGTAAGATTTTGAGCAGATCTGAAACCTGAGGAAGGGAAAGATTCAGGCCCCCAGGGAGGTTTGTGGAAGAGATTGAAAGGTGAAGGGTGAGCGGGCAAGGGATTATTGAGGTGCGGTAATGGCGTCGCAGAAGCAGAGTTTCTACTGATCTCCGGAAAGCTCAAGCTCAAACTCAACCCTAAATCTTATTTTCCCACCATCATTTTGTTTTCTCAGAATACGACCAAAATCTCACTCAGCCTGGTTCAATTCTTGATAGACAGACACAGATGATTGTAGCAGATGCAGAGGGTATATGTGAAAATCTTGAAAACAGAAAGAGGATATATGGAGGAGAGTTGAAGAGCAATGGAAGAAAAGTGGGGGGTGGGGGTGTGTGTGTTGGTCAAAAGAAGAAAGCAAATAAGGAAATGACTATACTACCCCTCTACTTAACACCACCTTAACTTATATTTGACGGAATGACCGTTGTCGGAACAAATCTAAAAGTTAAGTGTCTTTTTTGTCCAAATTAAAAGTCAAGGACCAATTTTGAAAAATCGTAATAGTTGGAGGACCATTGCTGGAATTAACTCTTCTACATATACTCTCAAATTATACTTTCATTTTGCACTCCCTATGACATGTCATGTCTTGATTGCTTAATTTAGTAGGGGGGCATGATGTTTATCTATTCTCTCTTTTTCTTCCTCCAATCAAATTTAAACACAAGTAGGAGTACAAATTGGGAGTATGGTTTTGAGAGTACATCTAGTATTTTTTATTCTTAGCCTAAGGCGTGAAAGCCCGGACGAATCTTGTGTAAGGGAGCCGGGGAAAGGCCCTTTGTTCACGCTTTTCCTCCCTTTCAAATTAAATACCACTTACTAAATCATTAAGCTGTGCTTATGCAAATTTTTTTTTTTTTTTTTTAAATACGACTAATAAAATTGATCAAATAATAAATTTTTAAAGTAGAGAGAAATTTTTTCCAAGACATGATAACAAAAAAGGTCTAGTTTACATGCGGACTTGTAGCACCATGTATGCATGAATGCACCACCACGTATTCGAAAATGCACCAAAGTATGGTGCATTTGTGCACTCCATCCTCGTGCATTTTTGAACAAGTGGTGGTGCAGATCTGAACGAAAATGTTAGTCCGCATTTAATCCATCATATATATATATATATATATATATATATATATATATATATATATATATATATATATATATAACTGATCATAATCAAAAGTTTCCTTAGATAACAAAATAGGGCTTTGACAATCCTCCTCATTTTCTTGTTGATTGTCTTTCAGCTGATTTAATGCATTAAGTTTGTCGTTTAAAAAAAAATTAAAAAATAGGGTTTAATCTTATCCATTAATCCAGCCCAAATCAATGGTCCAGAATGAAGATATGTTAACGTGGTTGCATTATGATAATTTTGTGTAAGTTATTTTTTTTGTCTTTCTGTGGATTTTTTCCTTCTATCAGTGCACATTTTCCTTGTTCGAGTGCACATTTTTGTCTCTTCTATAGCACACAGTTTCTCCTTTCGAGTGCATATTGTTGTGCCTTCCAATGCATAATTTTGGACTAGTGCAACACGAACACATTCTATTTTACTTTTTCATTTTCCTCATGCAAAGTTCGTTTATGATTTGTGTTGAAGATCATGTACTGGTCATCTTCCAATTAGTTTTATTACTCGTTGAATCACAAACATGAGTTCAGTAATTAATTAGTATTATATTTTAGCAATAGTAAGCAATTAGTCGTTTATGATTTATCTTGAATCACTAATTACTAATTTGAGTTGAATCTTGTAATTCTCGGTTATGATTTGTGTTGAAAATCGGATTTAGTCTTTTCAATAATCGCTACACATCTTTATGCCTTTAGTGTACATTTTTAAAGATCATAGAGTGTCAGATTTTTTTAAAGAGCAATTGATATTGACTAAATTAGTGACTGAGATTTATTCACATTTTTCACTTGGGAGCTCGTTTACACCTGATCCAAAGCTTATGGCTGATATATATATATATATATATATATATATATATATATATATATATATATATATATATATATATATATAGAGGCGGGTTCAGGTGCGGCAGTGTCTTACGGTGCGGCAACACCAATAGTTCAACAAATATGCACCATCAACGTTAGGAAAATACACCACACAAAACAGAGTAAACAGAGTCCTGCATCACCAAACACACACCATTAGGTGTGAGTAAAAACACCATACACTGTTCGGAAATACACCATTGGGGGTGGTGAGTTATATGGTGTATTTTTTTGAGTCTGTTGTGTATTTTGTGATGTTTTATTGCATTTCATTGTGGTGTGTTTTTATTACACTGTTGGTGCATAATGTTAACACTGTTGGTGTATTCTGGAATTTGACCGCACCGCCGCACGGTAAGACCCCGCCGCATATGAGCGCTCTTCTATATATATATATATATATATATATATATATATATATATATATATATATATATATATATATATATATATATATATATACATATATATACACACACACACACACACTCCCTTTGTCCTATTTTATGTGTCGTGTACAGTTAACGATGTTTGACTGTAATTATTTACAATTTAATTTTTCATAATATTAAGTTTAAAATTAGTATATATATGAAATTTATATATTTAGAAACTACATTAAAAGTACTATTAAACACACAAAAAAAAATCAAATTTAAAAATGATAAGTAAATACTAATGAAAACAAGAAAAGAAGAAAGAGTTGGTTTACCAATGAAAAGTAAGTAGGATGGATAAAATGGAATAGAGAGAATACAATCTAACCTATACATAGTATATGTTCAACATGATTATGACAATCTCTTTGATTAGAATGGAATCGAACCTGTGACCACGGTACATAAATATTTTGACCTATACCGAAAATTCAATGAAACTTAATTATCTTTCAACATCAATTCAAGTAAGCAATGACACACACACACAACATATAATATTTGGACGGGAGGATTATACCATTTTATTTATTTTCATGGACGACGGGATCATGAGAGTGGCTGCTTCAAATCTTCTTATTTAAAAAACACCAATTAATTTAACTTTTATCATCTTATTAATAACTTGGGTTGAGTCCCTTTAGAATGATGTAAGCCATGACAAAAGCCTAAAAAGTTTATTGGTGGATGATAACAAAATGAAAAGAAAAAGCTTGAATTGCATCACAAGAGTTAGTGGAGGAAGTTAATAGTTATTGCAGCATTCAAAGATTGCATATCTAATATCTTATATTTAATATCGCATGCATGCATGATCAGCAGTTGTCTCTCATATATTTTCTCTTAAATATTTTTCTTCTGATGTGACATTATCTGATTCAACTATTTAGTATTTAATTATTATTTGAATACTTTCTCCTAAAAGGTTGAATCTCCAACTCCGACAACTAAAAAAATATTTGAGTGGACGGTGACTCAATGACTCAACAGACAGGTCAAATGCTGGCCTGGTACGTACAAAGGATCTGTCCACTTTACACATAATTCCCGCATTATCGCCGTTGAGTTTCAAATCTTGGTCTTATCTCCCTAAATACTGCCTATTGGACCATTGAACTAATCTTGTACGGGTAATTCGTGAATACCTATGCTAATGAATGGAAATCATGTTAAGATAGAAAATTTAGAAGGCCGCCGGCAAAAAGCAATTTTTTTTCCATTGTTAAATGGTTTGGTTGGCCAAAGTGAAACGGTCAGAATGAAACAGAAATGCAATATTGAATTGAGACATTATATTCAACATTTCAACACCACCTATTACTCTATATATTATTCCCTGGGAAACATACATCGTCCGTGCAGTGCTCTTCAAAATCCTAAGTCATTGGAAGCTTTAATTTTGTTGAGTAATTCAATTCTATCACAAAAATGGAAAGTAATAATGAGATTGTGTTGTTGGATGAGTATGAGAGCATGTATGGGATGAGGCCAAGAATGGCACTGGCTTTGAAAGGGATTGGCTATGAATCCAAGGAAGAAGATTTGGATAACAAAAGCCCACTCTTGCTCAAAATGAATCCAATTCACAAGAAGATTCCTGTTCTAATTCATAATGGCAAACCCATTTGTGAATCACTCATTATTGTTGAGTACATTGATGAGGTTTGGAATGACAAATATCCATTGCTGCCATCTGATCCATACAAGAGAGCTCAAGCTAGGTTTTGGGCTGGTGTCATTGATGCAAAGGTAATTTAATTTAATTTCTATATTATTATATTGTTGCCAAAAGCCTTGTGGTCAAACGGCATAGCTGTGGCCACTCAAATAAGAAGTCTCTGGTTTGAACCCCAGTAACTGGTATTTATGTACGCAGATCTATGACCGCCTGGTTGAATGGGTATTTAAAACCAAAGATGAGAATGCCATTAAAGAAGAGATTGCAGAGTGGCTGAAGCTGCTAGAAGGGGAGCTAGGGAAAGACACATATTTTGGAGGGGATAAGATTGGGTTCTTGGATTTGGCACTCATTTCATTCTTCCCCTGGCTTCTGGCTTTCGAGAAAGAAGTAAACTTCAGCATGGAGGAACTAGTGTGTCCAAAGTTGATTGAATGGACCAAAAGGTGCCTACAAAATGAGACTATCTCCAAATGCTTTGCAGACCCTTTGAAGATCTCTCAGATGGTTCTGCAAATGAGGAAAACCAATGGCGTTAACTAAGTAGAATTATATTGAAAATCCTTATTTCACTCTTAGTTGTTCTCTCATCCATTATAAAAACCAACACTTTTTACCATGCAAATGGAAAGAAATGATCACAAACAAATCATCTTTGAACCATTAAATCTTCAACTAATTAAAAAAGACAACATCCATTCCATTCTTGTCTCTCAATGCAAGTTTGCAGCAGTGTAATATACACTATACAAAACCAATTGTTTACATAATACAACAAAAAGCCAAAAAAAAAAAAAAAAATCCATAAATGAGTATTCAATCATTCATTCCCATTTATCAACAACTCCTTTGTGGTTTTGTCCATCCTTTCCATGAAATCATGTAAAACACTGTAATTCTCGTGTTGCCTGTTTCTTCTTCTTCTTCTTCTTCTTCGTATCTACTGTAGTCATGTACACTACACACAGTACACAGTTCAGAAGCAGCAGCAGCAACAATACACGTGCCAATGTCCCCGGATGTTGCAGAGCAGCTATCTGGTCTATAACACATTTAAAAGTGAAGAAATTACCGCTAAATCATACTGTCAGAACTACCCCTTGCATCTATTTGTCAGAATTTGAAGAAACCAATGGTATAGATTGAGTAGGCTCAGACTCGTCGTTGGTGCTTGTTCGCGAAGCTTCTTTCTTCAACTTGTGATTGTTGTATGCAGCCACCCCTCCAATGGCTGCAACAAAACTCAAGAGAATTACGGACTACTCTATTTGTGTGTGTGTGTGTGTTCATTATTCGAATATCTCTGGGCAAGCACGACTATAAGAGCTGATAGTAGCCAAAGCTGGATATAAAATTACCAATAGCATAACCAAAAATATTGATGAGTGTTAGTTTTGTATCTGCGAATATAAGAGCTGATAGTAGCACAACCACCCAATCTTTGACGACTCCAGCCACACGAATGGTGAGGGCACTCGTATGTGAGATCACAAGGAAAACTGAGAGATTGAGAGCAAAGGTACATAGAGAATTTAGGGTTAGAATAAGAGGTTGAAAACTCCACGTCCCTTGTGCCTCCATCTTCGGTTTCTCCAAGAATATCCATGGAACTAAAAGGCAAATAGCACTGTATTGAAAAGAAGATTCTGTTATCAATGAGAAAAGCTCTTGTAATAGAACATGATAAATGAGAACTGATAATAAGCTTTCAGAAAGTAAAATGCATGCCTGCATGGGCTGACGTAGTACATAACAGATATGGGGTTTAGCTTGAGGCCCTTCTTCTTTACCAGAATCTCCATGAATATAAGCCTCAAGGCTTCTCCAACAACACCTCCCATTTGGTAGACAACACCGATCCAATTGATATTAATTTCTCCATAAGAAGCCACTAGTACACCAAAACTGATGACAGACATTATGAGAAGCATCCTGCAGCTCATCACTTCAAGTCCAGCTGCTACTCCAAGAATGAAAACAGCTACCGGCACTGAAGATGGGGTACCCAGAAATGAAAAATTGTCAATTGACGACAGATGAAAGGACCAATATAGACGCATATTTTTAGATCCACATGTCTCTGTCCTTTTTTCTCAAATAATCACCAGTCCATCCTCTTTATGATAAATTGACATTATAGCACCTCATCGGAGTTTACGTATATAACACTGAAAACTTTCTATGGTTCTGCTTAAAAGACCACAATATCAACCAGAAAGTAAGAACACTCACTGATAGCCTTCAACATCTGAGCAAATGAAACAGAAATATACAGGTAAGCTGTGTTCCCAAGCCAGAGTGTCATAGCAAACATTGCTCCAATCGGAATAACTGACCAAATATATCTGCCCATTGAAAGATTATCAATATAAAATTGCGTTTATAATATAAGCTAGATGAAAAAAAAAAAAATCTCCCTTGGAAAGCAAAACGGGTTTTACTAAAAAAAACAAGAGGGAAAGTGCAGTGGTGACTGGTGAGCCCAAGACATCCTTCTGTTAATGCAAGGCAACTAAAAGGAAAAAGATAATAACTTCCAAAAGACAAGACAAAAGCAAAATGAAGCTCGAGTACGCAAGCTGATTGACCATCTTTGGCTCATACAGGTATCATGGTGCAAATATGTGAGAGATAAACTTCATCCCCCCTCCCCCCTTTAGGATAGTATATACACCAGAAGAGGGTAAAGCAACTGTTTGAAGTAACCGCAATAAATAAATACACACACACACACAAACAAACATTTGACATCATTTATCAAGCTGAAGGTACCCACATTTCCAGTGTCATTCCAGGCTCAACTTTCATAATCTGGATAGAAAACAAAAACTAACATTACAGGTTGTATAAGTGAAATTGAAGGAATACCTGTAAAGTATAAGCAAAATGTTTACCTTGAAAACCTTTGTTAGCAAAAAACATGCCACAGAGGAGAAGACCATGTGGAGTAGAGTCAAGGCAAGAGGATAAGGGAAGTTTATTTCTTTTGATGACAAAACCCACTACAATAACAAAAACCAATATTCAAACAACAGCTAAAAGTAGATAGACATTTTCAAGTAGTCTTGTAAATAATTCTCATGAATAGCCATGAAGAAATCAAACCATAAAACATGGGCAGGTCATTTTATCTTTCTTGTCTTTGATTTTCTTTTTTCGAATCTCTCTTTTCAAAGGCATTAAATGGTTCAATGTAATACTGTGGGCACAGGGTTGAGGCTCTTGAAACTTCATATTTACAGCACAATGGTTAAAAACTGATCAAAAATAATGAAATAAGAACAATGGTAATAATGATGTAGAGATTTTAATAGTGACTAGGAAAGATACTAATCTTCAGATGAAGAGCTTAGTGATTGCTACGTCATAGGCAGAAAAGAACAAGAAACCAGGGTCTAAGCATGCAGTGGTAAATCAAAAAAAAAAAAAAAAAAAAAAACCCTTTTATGTCAACGTATCCTACTCCTATAAAATAGAACTAAACTAAAAAAGATATCATAGATATACAGCAGCAAACAATCAAAATTCAACTAGAACCACACATTTCATTAGGTGCTTACTTCAAAGCTCACATTAATTGCAAAGAAGGCTTTAATAAAACTATTAAACAAAATTATTTGCCACTATTTTATTTAATAGTGTCCCCAACTGTGAAATTGAGCTTTGGTCACAATTTTGAAGCATATCCATCTATCTTCAAAATATCACAGCACTCTAAAGCAAATATCAGTAGGAAAAAAAAAACTAACCAAAGGTACTTCAAGATCCCTGTTTTTCAGTTTGTTTCCTTCAAACTACAAGAGGCTAGCCAAATTGCCAAGAAAATGCAAGAAATTGATAAAAATCCTTTACATAAACATGACATCACATCTGCATACACAGATGCCACTTGTCCAGGTCCGAATCGTTACTATGGTCAAACCCAATGGCGGTTCCTACTTCACGGCAATCATCAAGAAATCGACAAAAATCTATATTTAGGCAATCAACAATACCCATTAATATAAAGGCCACGGAAAAGGCGGATTACCAAATAGTGTAAATACAAAGAACAAAAAGCAATCATTTTTCAAGCTCAAATCAATCAAACGTTTAAAGGAGAAGGCACACCATCTCTTCGAGAGAGTAACTTCGTTGACTGTAAAAAAAGACAAAGGGGCAAGAAGGAAGACCTTGTTGAAGAAGATCTGACCGCTGGAGAGAGCAATGTAGAGAAGAATGTAGGTGTATGTGAGCACCTCGTCTTTCACGACTTTTTTCGGTGGATCCGCCATTAATGGGAGCTACGGGTGTGGCGAATTGAGTGTGGAAGAGATATAGCGCCCGCCGCGTTGTTGCTTAGAACGGCAGAGATGGATGGGCAATCGGATTGCGTGAGCGCAGTTCAGCCCAGAGCACTCCGACTTTGCTTACAAACGTGAGCTAAGAAGCGCACCGCAGGGTCCAAAACTAAAAACGAAAAACGTCTTTGGTCGTTTGTATATGATTTTCGATCTCCGTTTTCTGATCTTTGTGAGTGAGATATTTCTTTTTGAAAAAAAAAAAATGTCAAATAGGTAAGTAAATTGATGGAAGAAAAAGGTGTGTAATTAAATTATTAAAAATATTAAAAACATTTTTTATAAATTACTTTCAATTTTTTTTTAAAAAAATACGATGTTATAATATCAAATTATATATATTATTTTTAAAAATTAAAAAAAATTATTATTTTTAAAAAATTTAAAAGAAGTTGGAGGCAACCATAGCCTGAAGCATTGCGAATTCGCCCTATTCCACTTCATTAAATCACGCGATGCTTGCCACTGGGGAGCCTTGGTTGTTGGAACTCATACACTAAGAGCCATATAGGAATATGAATACCCATTTTCGGATGGAGGGGTAGCCATGACGGCCTCCATCCTCGTCCAGGACAAAGGTAGGGGTAACAATGGTTGCCTCCCCCTTCATCCACAGTAGGAGAAGGTGGTGGCTGCCTCCACCTTCTTCTGAAATTTTGTAAAAAAATTACTTTTTTCTTTTAATTTTAAAAAATGATAATTAAAATAATTTTTTTATATATAATTTGACATCATGACATCATATTTAAGGGAAACTTGGGTGAAGTAACCTGTAAAAAGTGCTATTTGCACAAGTTTTGAATTTTTAATGGTTCAATTGCACAATGTGTAAAAGTTTAATTTACTGACCTATTTGACATTTTTTATCTTTTTTTTTTTTTAGGTTAATATTCTACCGTAAAACTTAATAAGTTACAACTAACAAGTTAGGTACAATTTACTTTTTGAAGAGAAATAACTTAATCCATTAAATCAGAGTGTAACAAATTCATAATGAAACTAGGAGGATTGACATGCAATTAATCCTTACAACTTTCTGACATAAAACGGCTTCTTTAGTAATAGCATGGAGGACATGATTCACAGATCATATCACTTAACAAAATATAAGCGAATATTACTAAAAAAAGCTAGCAACTTGACAAACTTGCATGAGTTTGTCCCATATTTTACTTTTTTTGTTGATATGTTGTGCATCAATTGTCTTTAAAGAAACAAAAACAGTGACAAAAAATCATGTCCCATATAAATTGCTTGTTTATACCCATCTGAGCGCGAATAAAACGTGTAGTACTTGCATATATGTTGATATTTATTAAACATTTTTAATTTATTGGCTTTATATGTCAACAAAGGGGTGCCAAGACATCTGTTATAATAAAGTCATTTTTTTTGGTACAACATTTGACTAGGCCTTAATTAATAAGAGCTCCGTCAATAATAGGTAAACCTAATGGATGATATTTAGTTACCAATATTAATGGGATATTTGTATAATGTTTTTCATGTCCTCTCACTGCTCAGTTAATGACTCATATATTATTTAGAGCATGGAGTAATAATGAGAGAAAAACATAATATCACGTTGGTTCATGGTAGCATGAACAAAATGAATTGATGTTGCGGGTGAAACTTCAATAAATAGTGTTGCAATCTAATGTAGTTGTTCAATTCGTTCAATCCAGAAGGTGCAACTTTGCCAGATAAGATTTTATGGTTCAGGCAAAGATTGGCTTCGTACTATCAATTCTCACGTTATTTGTATGTGAAATATAAACACTTTAATGAATTGAGATTTCACTAACTTGGTAGCCCCTAGACGCTGGGCCGATCCTGGATAAGTTTGCCCAGAACCCCCAAATTTTTGAGCGCCCCATACTTAAAAAAGAAATTATTATATGTATAGAGTATATAAGCAATTAAGCGGCAACTACAACATTAGCCATTAAGCTCAACTATTTTCCTAGCTTATCTCACAAATTGCGCAACCCTAGTAGTACTGTTATTACCGTAGCTTTAGTTTTTCTTCTTTTTTATTTTTATTTTTAGTTTTTGAATCTATTACAAGATATTATCAGCTCTATACTTTCTCTAATTACTGCAGCTCAAAGAGTCAATACCCCACCACCGGAGTTTGATCCTGTGACCTTCCTTCAAGGGGAGCTACAGTTCTACAGAGGTGCCATCTGAGCACAAAGTGCTTAGCACCGTAGCTTTAGTTAATTACCAACATTACGTAAATTGGGATGCTCTTGATTTTAAATTAATAGATATTCTTATGAAAGATGGTCCTAAAAGAGATTTATCAATAAATAAAAGTCCTAATAAATTCTCTAGAAGATTTTTGTCAGCATTTTACACCAGATATTTGCCAAATAGAGAAAAGTGTGATCGAGATTGGCTTGTATATTCAAAAGAACTTGACAATGTGTTTTCTTTTTGTTGCGAGATTTTTAAAAAGGGTATAGGAAAACGTGTTTCGGCTTGTGCATCTAAATGTGCATGGTGCATGTCATTTTTTAAATGAAATTTTAAAGGTATTTTTTATAGAATATTTATGTTTTGAATTTTTAACGCAAGTTTTTAAATTATTATTTATATATACAAATTACTTTAAAAATTTTTTAATTTAAAATATTATACGGGACCTTAATTTTTATTGAATGACCCTGCCTAGGGTTATCGAATGCTTGTGTCTAATTCAATTTCTCTGTATACTCAATTTATTGCTTTGTACACTGTCTAAGCAGTCACGCAAACTGACTTAATAAAAAACTAGTATATCTTTTGGGTGCTCAGAATATCCCTCCATCTGATAGTCAAAAGACTAATTTCCCGTCTCAACGATCAGCACACTAAATAATAGGGGACTGGCCAATCATGTTGGTTAACATGTCTTAACCAAGTTGTAACAAATGCAAGTTTGCATTGATAAAGAGCTTTGAACCTTGATTCTATAGTTCACGTGCATCTCTGTGAGTGTATCTTGGAAGTACCCAATTGCATTGCACATAAAAGGCAGTTGTGGCAACAAGTACAGAAAGGCTAAAGCTTTTCGCCTATTTGATAATTGATACTAAATAGTCTCCAAGAAGCTTTTGTTATCTTGATGCACATTATCCTTTTGCGCAAATGCCTAAATGGAGATTACCTGTATTCAAGAAAGTCTAGATATTTATATTTGATGGTTCTTGGAAGATTGGATGGCAGTGAAGGGAGACTGTGTAACACAAAAGGTGGATGTGGTAGAGATGTAGCCATTTGCCCCCTCCCTCCCAATCGGATGTGGTTTCAAATGCCCTCCTCCAAAAACTCATCCTCTAATCTGTGTCTCTCTCTTCATCCACCCCCACACCTTTTGTCTTCTTCCTGATTCCCATTTAATCTCTTTCTTTCCTTTATCATCTCTAGTCTTTACTGTCCTTAAGCCACTCCCTTGTCGTTCTCTTTTATCAACTTCACCTCCACTCTGCATGCACTCTGATCTTCTCACTGGATTTGGAACACAAGGTCTGCCTCTCTCCCCCTTTCCTGTCTGCTTCAATTCTATGTTCATGGCAGCTGGTTTCTGTATATGAATCTTTACTTTGTTGTTTATAAATTCTTCTGTTAAGACACAGTACTCTTGTATTCTTGCTAGCTTGTTTTGTTCTTGATCTATTTATAGTTACCCTATCTTATGTTTTGTGCATATCATGAATCTGGGATCATAGTATTTTACTAAAGCTAATGATTTGTCTGTCATATTATAGCTGTGAGATGGTAGTTTGGTTAGGGGTTATTGTTAGTTTGCCAGGTTTATAGACTGAGCTTGAATAACTCCATGATTTTTGGAGCAGAGGTCTAAAAAGCAACAGTAGAGATGGAGGAGGTAACCAATGTAATGGAGTATGAGGCTATTGCCAAGAAGAAGTTGCCAAAGATGGTGTTTGACTACTATGCATCAGGTGCTGAGGATCAGTGGACACTGGCTGAGAACAGGAATGCTTTCAGTAGAATACTGTAAGCTACTCTGGTTTCTGAACCTGTAGTTCTAACTGTAGAAGTGATCATGATCATCACAACTGGATTATAATAAATTCTCCTTTCCTCGACAGGTTTAGGCCCCGTATTCTTATTGATGTGAGCAAAATTGACTTGAGCACCACAGTGCTAGGCTTCAAGATTTCAATGCCTATCATGATTGCACCAACAGCCATGCAGAAAATGGCTCATCCTGAAGGTATTAATTAGCTTTAACTTTCACAGGTCTGTCTGAGGTTCATTTCTGGTTAATCCATTTTAAAGATAAGCAAGGGACCAAGAATTTGTATTTATTCTAGCATGGTGTATATCTTGATACTCATAGTATAGTCACTAAGATTGTTTGAAATTTGAATCTTTAAATGAATATCAGTTCTGGAGGGTGCTCTGTTAACTTCTGGCTGCCCCCAGGTTTTTTGCTCTTTGCTCATATCAAAGTACACATCTTCAAAACACAACTCTCATTCTCTAAAGTGTTGAGATATTAATATCTGATTTCTTTTAATTTGATAAACACCGTTCCTGTGTATGCTAGAATGTTGTGAGTTGGTTAGTTAATTGATTGGTTTGGGTATTACTAGATTAGTTGTGAGGAGAATTCTGACCAAAGATTTTGGCTTAAGCCTGAAAGTACAAGCCATATGACACCAATTCTTATTTTGCAGAAGCTCAGTGATTATCAATCTAATGAGATAAATTGATTATATGCAGGGGAATATGCTACAGCAAGAGCTGCATCAGCTGCTGGAACAATTATGGTTAGTCTCTAATTGTCTGTAATTATATTAACTTCTCTCTAATGTGCATTAGTTTGTTGCTTAATTCTCAGGGTTTCTCACATGTATATGCATTTTATCAGTCTTTTATGTTCTGTTCTGATTTAGTTTCATAGCAACAAGAAATATTGAAGCTGTTAGGATATTATTATGTGGTTTATATCTCTTTTCTGATGCATTGCAACTTCATGTACCAGACGTTGTCATCTTGGGCAACTTCCAGTGTTGAGGAGGTTGCTTCAACTGGACCTGGCATCCGTTTTTTCCAGCTTTATGTAAGAACGAAGCACTATATATGCTCCACTTTCACTTCATGGTAAATTAGCATTCACGACATGTATGTCTAACAAAAATATTCTGTAATTC